AGGTAGACAGGTACACAGACAGGTACACAGACAGGTACACAGACAGACAGGTACACAGACAGGTACACAGACAGACGGACAGGTAGGTAAACAGGTACACAGACAGGTACACAGACAGGTACACAGACAGACAGGTACACAGACAGACAGGTACACAGACAGACAGGTACACAGACAGGTACACAGACAGACAGACAGGTAGGTAGACAGGTACACAGACAGGTACACAGGTAGGTAGACAGGTACACAGACAGGTACACAGGTAGGTAGACAGGTACACAGACAGGTACACAGGTAGGCAGACAGGTACACAGACAGGTACACAGACAGACAGACAGGTACACAGACAGGTACCTGGACGTAGGGTTTGTAGGTGAAGGTGTAGTGATGAGCGATAGCAGCCAGAAACATCTCTATGCAGATGATGAAGTCCTGTTAATCAGAAAAAATATTAAATACGTCAAATAAAAAAAGACAAATAAATAAAAAGAAGCTCCAAAACAACAAAAAGCTGATTAATGTTAAAGATCTGACTGATGTTCCTGACTTAATAAACATGTTTGTTGTTGTGTTGTCGTTGTTGTTGTTGTTGTTGTGTACCTGCAGTCCAGTAGCCACTGCCTGCACACTGTCCCAGTCCCAGGTGTGTCTGTCTGAAATCACTCCCACCTTCACCAGCAGAGCGATCAGGACCGCCTGCCTGTACAGAAACCCAGCGGGTCATGTCTCTATAGAACTCACTGCAGCAGCAGAACTTCCAGTGCCCCGGGGGTCCGGTCCTACCAGAACGACACGAAGACCACCAGTTTGACGCAGAGGAACTTGCCCACGGGTCTGATGGGTTTCAGCTCGTCCCTCAGGGCCCGGTAGAGCAGAACCAGGCAGTACATGGCAAACTGTGGACAGGTCACCACAGTGACTCAAAACAACAAACAGTGACGTAATGTTTGTTTGTTTGTTTGTTTGTTTGTTTACCAGCTGTGAGATGTTGTTGATTATCACCAGGTAGGACCAGGCGCTCCTGAAGCTGAAGTTAGCCTCATCGTAAACTCCACACAGCTGACAGATGCTGCAGAAACAGACATAAAAACGCTGAGTCATGCTTCACGTTCACTACAGACACACACAGTAAACTGCACATCCCCTGAAACGGTAACAAGGCTCAAACAGTCACTGAACAAGATACAAGACCGGATGAAGACTTTTGCACGGACCTGTCGTCACCATGTCATCAGAACAGGACTTACAGAGCGATGACCGTGGTGACGGGTCGGACCACCGTGTACTGGAGGACTCCCAGTTTACACCTGAAGAGCAGCACCCTGACAGAGACACAGAACAAAGTGAGCCCCGCCCTCCTCCTCCCTGACCCCGCCCACCCCTGACC